TTGAGGTGGTCTGGATTACGGAGTGAAGATTAGAAATAGCCAATGGCATTTATGTTACATGCAAACTGTCGAGGCCCTGCAGCCAGCACGCAGTGACTTCAGTGCAAGGAAGGACAAGTTAATGCCCGTGGCCATGCATAACCCAAGCCTAGGTTAGCACCTCATGCAGAGCCCGAACTGCAGGTTAGCTATAGAAACAGAGCCATGCTTTCCTACAATATGAGCTGCGAAGACCAGGAATTTCTATGTTAACCTTTAAAAATTAATTTTTACGATGTTTAATAATGCCATAGGTCCACGTTATGGAAAAATGTACTTTGGGGTGTGAGACAGTAATGAAGTATGTATGTAGTAGACTGGAACACCAAGTGTGTGTGAAGATCTGAATAGTTCTGTGAGGGCACCTAACAACTACCCAGACTTTTCTGAAGGTTTCTAGAAAAGGGAGACGAAACCCCAGGCCGTTGCACATATTATTTCCCACTTTGGTGCTGCTGTGACGCTGTCTCACTGTCACGACCATTATTTGTTGAGCACTTAGCCCTGCAGCAGCGTTGGGGAGCTATATCCAAAATAAGTACAACACAGTGGTTGCTCACACACAGAGACGATGTAGTTACTTGGGAAACTAGGTAAAGAAAAGTTGAAAACCAGAGTATACAATAGAGCGTGCATTCATACTGCGGTAAGCACGGTAAAATTACAGAAGGGAAGGAAAAGTGAATGGTAAAATAGGGACTACAGAAGGAAAGGAAAAGTGAATGGTAAAATAGCAGGGACTAAGTCCCAAAGTGGGTTTTGAAGCAAGTTTTTCGACAAGTATAAGGAGCTGTGTAAGGTCATATTCTGGGTGAGCATAACCGCGCCCATACTTAAACCCAACTTGGTGGTTGACTGGCCCAATAAGAGCAAATGTGAACATCTTCGGCCCCTACCCAAGCACTTCCTAACATAAAATGACTGCCACAACCCTCCAAAAGTCTTTCTTTTCCGTAAGGGCAGAGAGGGCCACGTGATGTGCCACTCAGCATGCTGGATTTTGTAGTTTCAGAAACCCAATCCTTGCGCCCTTTCGGGGGCACTGACTTCAGCGATCTCCTTCCTGTGGGTGGGCATTTCGGGAACTGGGGAGCCAATGAGGCTGCAGTAACGTGGCAGCCACCCACGAGCCCGCGTCTTCGCCCGTCCCGTCGGCGAGCCGGGCTCCGCCCCCCCAGGGGGACCTACTATCCGTCGCGGATCCACAGGGGGGAAATGAGGCTAATCTCCTTTCAGAAGGCCTGCAGGAGCCCCGGTGCCCCCCTACGGCCGCTCTCGATGGCGGCGCCTCTGCCCACGCCGTCTTGCCCCCACCTTCTTCCGGCCCTTGGCTGCCCGGGCCCCGCTTGCTTTTCCCGGTGGATGCTGCGCCTCTCCGAGCGAAACATGAAGATTCTCTTCGCCGCTGCCCTGATCGTGGGATCCGTTTTCTTCCTGCTATTGCCAGGACCCTCTACGGCCGATGAGAAGAAGAAGGGACCCAAAGTCACCGTCAAGGTCCGGCCTCCCTTCTCCAGACCTGCCTAGCAAGGCCCTCCATCCGCTGCCTAGGGTTGGCCTGGGCGTCCTCGAATTTGGCCCAGCCCCTCCCTAGTTTCCCGGTTGTGGCCTCGAGGTGCCTGGATGGTCTTCCCCCATTCAGTTCACGGAATGACCCGGATCCTGCCCGAAATCCCCGCCCTGACCCAGGAATCGGCCCCTGGGTTTGCCTAGCTGGTCCCGGCACTGTCAGCCTCAGATAAGCCTATTTGCAAATACTCTGCAGTGCTGGCGAAACGGTGAAAAATCACGTCTGCCAAATTGTGTATCCTTTCTCTACTTAGGTCACATTTTAGCCACTTCCGATTATAAAGCACAGCAGTATGGTTTAAACTTGAGGGTTTTGGTTTTTTTTAAGTGCTAATTTGTAGATCCCGGGCCTATTATTTATCTAGAGCAAAGGTTCTTGCCCTGTCGTCTACGGAAAGTGTAAACATGTTTTCTGGGAAATGAGTCTGGAATTTTCATTAGATTCTCATAGGGTTTTTGTCATCACTAAAATCAGATTCAGAAACACTACTTTTGGAATAAGGCTCTGTTTTCTCTGCCATCCTCAGGGTAGCTTCTTGAGCCCTCCTTTCCCTAGCAAAGCCCCCATAAAGAAGCTGAGTTCAGGATGCTCTTTTTCTTCAGGTGTACTTCGATCTGCGAATTGGAGATGAAGATATAGGCCGGGTGGTCATAGGTCTCTTTGGAAAGACAGTTCCAAAAACAGTGGATAATTTTGTGGCCTTAGCTACAGGAGAGGTAAGTGGCTGGAGCAGAGGTAGGCCAATTCAAACCACGTGAAGCTGGCAAGTAGGGCTGGCAGCAGACAACACAGGGCGTGGCCCACCCTCAGCAGTGGCCCTCAGCGCCCTGTTGGCTAGGGGAACCCAGTGTCATATCTTTTTCTGTTGCTGTCATTCATCTCTTCAGTGGGATCAGAGGCTCCTGTGTGTGTGTATCACTGGGAGGTAGAGCTGGCACAGTCCCCCAGACGTGGCTCCTCTCCTTAGGACCCTAGCCCTTTCAGGCAGATTCTAGGAGGGCAGAGAGAACTCAAGAAGTTGGGACCTGAGCTGTTTCCAATAGGCAAGTAACTCACCCAGCCTCCCAAAACTGCCTGTGGGATATGCCCTCACTGGAAGCCAGCCCCAGAGAAGGAATGGGGGGTATGGGATCTAGGGATCTGGAGGCACTTGGTACAAGGGCAGCGGTCCCCCCAATCTGGCCGGGTGGCACTAGCCCTAGCCTCCTTGACTGGCGCAGAGCTTGATGACCGAGTCACTGGTCAAAGTTGCCGCCCAGGCAACAATAGCAACAGGGTGGGTTGTGGAGGCAGGGCTCACCCCTGCCCCAGGTTTACCCCCCTGATGAGGGGGGCACTGTGGAGGGAGGAAACACCTTCCATATTTGTTCCCTCGCAGTGGGCAGGGCAGCTAGAGGTGGAGGAGCAGGAGGAACATTCCCTGGAAACAGTCACGGGGGAGCCTGGGACCGCCGTGTAAGGAGGTGGTGGTATGCCCGGGCGGTGAACCACGTCGTCGTAGGCTGGGGGTTGAAGGCGCTGAGGAGGCTGAGGTCAAGCAGTGAACCAGTAAGAACAGGGACGGCCCTGTGGCATGGCCTGTGGGAGGCCAGCAAGTTGATCTCACCCTGCCCCTGCTGTTGCTGCCCCTGCTCAGCGATGACGTAAGCAGCAACAGCAGCTAAAGAGGATGACGACAGTCCAGAGCAGCCAGAACCACCAGGGCGCAGAGAGTAGGACAGAAGCCGGTCTCCCCGCAGCAGTGACCCCTCTCACGGGGTATGGCTGGTTGTTCACTCCTGGGCCCAGCTCTCCAAGTTGCCTTGGTGGCACCCAGAGTACCCCCTAGGCCACCTTGCTGCCGTTCTCACTGCTGGCCCAGCCAGGCCTCCACCTACAGCCTCCCCTGCTGCCAGCCATCCCGCACCTGCCCGCTCTGCCGCCACCGCTGTGGCCCCTGCCCAGCCCGCCTTCACTGCCACCGCTGTCAGTTAATGGCCGGGGCTCCCATCTGGGCAGTATTATCATATCTTGAGTTTTTAAGCTGAATCAGAGATCTGGATTTTTCTTTTTGAGAAAATTTATCTTTTAAGACATTGCAATAGCCAAAGAAAGCATGTCTGTGGAAACTAGTCTGTGGTCTCTGCACCAGAGTTTTCTTTTAAGGGCCAGGGGCCCAGAGTTTTCCAGGTTTTAAGGAAACGACAGTGCCCTGTTTTACAAAAGTTTATATTCCAACTTTTCATTGGGTTAGCAAGTAACCTTTTTTTGTACCTGTTCTTTTTTTTTAAAGATTTTATATATTTTTAGAGAGGAAGAGAAATATCAGTGTGTGGTTGCCTCTCAAGCATCCCCTACTGGGGACCTGGCCCACAGGTCCCACAACCCAGGCATGTGCCCTGGCTGGAAATCGAACCAGCAACGCTTTGGTCTGTAGGCCTGCACTCAATCCACCGAGCCACAGCAGCCAGGGCTGCACCTGTTCTTATGACTGGGAAAAACTGAGCAGGAAAAGGCAGAGGCGTTATGTGAGGTAGAATTACAGAGTCTTGGAATGTGTAAAGGTAGAAGAAGGTGCTGTCTAGCCTTTCCTGGACCCTCGTGCTCCAAGCCTGGCCTGTGGTCACTGCTCGCTCGGCACGTTGAACGGTGGCGCTGGCCGGCCGCGGTGTCTCTCCCTCCAGCAGGCGTTGTGTGCTGGGTTCCTGCAGGGCCCGTTTAATGTCTGCCTGGTGCCTCATGCCACCTCCTCACCTTCTCTTCCCTCTTTCTAGAAAGGATTTGGCTACAAAAACAGCAAATTCCATCGTGTGATCAAGGACTTCATGATCCAGGGTGGAGACTTCACTCGGGGTGATGGCACTGGAGGTAACTCAGGCCCTGCGGCGGAGGGGTCTGTCCGTGCAGGTGGAGGGCTGGGCTCTGTTGGGTGGACACGGCCTCTTCCCCGGAGGCAGGCCCGTCATCTGCGTGGAGACCAGCTGTACCCTTCTTAGTACACGGAGCCTAGTACCAAGAGGAGGGAGTAACAGGGGGTCAGGTGGCCACGAGAGGATGCACCCAGCTGGCAGACTTGCTGGGTCAGTCCTGCGGCCCTGCTGACTTCCTGCAGCACCTCACGGAGGGAGGGGGGCAAAGTGAAGCATGTGGGCAGCTGATTCCAGGTCAGGTGTGCAACGCCAGTGTGGGCGACTATGGAAGCCCCCGTGGGGGTGGGAGAAGTTGCTTTTCTTGGTAGTCTCCCACGTGGTAGTTTCTCACGGCCTGCAGCTCAGTAGCTCAGTGTTGCTCTCTGGGAGACGGAAAGGGGGCAGTGTTTCTCCTGTGTTAGGGTCTCTGAGACTGTGTCTGTTCTTGGCTCCTTTGTCCTGCACCCTGGCCCTGGCCCTTTATGGAGGGACACTGACACACATTCGTTGTCACCTTTTATTTTCTGTGCAGTTGTTGACAAGAGGCTCTTGACTTTGTAGAACCCAAATGGCAGCTACCTCAGCATCTTGTGCTCTTAGGAAGCAAAGTTAGTCAGTCACAACATTCCTCCTTTCTAGAGGGTTCTTACCCCCTCCCCCACCCCTGCATCTTACACAGCACCTCTCTTCACCAGAATCCCTCAGAGGCAGGCCCCTCAGGCCATCGCCAACACTGGTCTTTAATACGTACCTTATTTCAAAGCCATAAACTACGTTCTCAAAGTAACCCATCACGAGAGCAGTTCCCTGAAGCAGCCGGGCCCGTCAGCACGGTCTGGCTCCAAAGGCCAGAGCGGAGGACGGGAAGAGCCCGTAAGCCCACGCACTCCACTTGAGCCTGGGCTGGCACAGGGCAGGCTGGGACCCTGGGACCCTCCCCACAAAGATCTGCGCGGTCTGTGCCAGCCCAGCTCCCCTGACCTGCTCTTGTGCGTTCCTAGGTAAGAGCATCTACGGCGAGCGCTTCCCCGATGAGAACTTCAAGCTAAAACACTATGGGCCCGGCTGGGTGAGCATGGCCAATGCCGGCAAAGACACCAATGGTTCCCAGTTCTTTATCACAACGGTCAAGACATCCTGGCTGGATGGCAAGCACGTGGTGTTTGGCAAAGTTCTAGAGGGCATGGTGAGTTTCAGAGATGGGGGCTAAACCTGGGCAACCCTTACCAGGGATGTGACGGACCTTGGGGGCCAGGGCTCCCTGTATTTTACCCCTTTCCCAAAAGGGAGCCCACAGATTCAGACCAGTGTTCGTGTCTGCAAACCTGGGGCGGGGGGGGAGCTTAAGAATACAAAGCTGGCCTCTCTGTGCCCCCACGTCCTGCAGCCCCCCAGGCCCTGAGCAGAGGCCCGCCAGGCCTTATTGAGGCTGCACCACCGCGGGGACCTCCATTTCGTTGCTGGAATGCGGTGTGCTTGCAGGGCACCTGAGGTGTGCGGGGCCTTTGGTACCCGCATCCCAGCCACCCTCTCCCTGCTCCTCCCCACCCTTTGCCCAACCTGGGTCACAATTCAGAGGATCAAACTGCTGCATCCTCTCGTCACAGCTGGGTTTCCGTTGCTCTGGGCTGGCACCTGGCCGTGGTTCTGTTAGGGTGTTGGTGTCTCGGGGTTTGGAGGCTGTTTGTCCCGTGGGAGTCCCTGACCCACTGTGCCTCCCTGTTTGTGCCTTCCCTTCCCAGGAGGTGGTGCGGAAGGTGGAGAGCACCAAGACGGATGGGCGGGACAAGCCCCTGAAGGACGTGATCGTGGCAGACTGTGGAAAGATCGAGGTGGAAAAGCCCTTTGCCATTGCCAAGGAGTAGGCCCCAGGGACCTCTGCCCTTTGAGCGACTGTTCGCCCGTTGCCCTCTCCGAGGGGGTGAAGCCAGCCCACCACAGGGCTCCGCGTTGCGCTGGCCCTGGCGCTGATATCTGACAGAACGAGCCCGCCCCTCACATTCCACAGGGCCAGTTTTTTAACGGACTCCTACCAACGCTGACCAATTAAAACAAAAGGTGGTGTTTTTAAAAAATATATAACTTGTGTATGTGCCAGGTTCTTGGGCCTGCAACACCTCTGCCCAAGTCTACAGGGTCGCCTGTGGCAGCGGATACTCGTCCCCTTCTTGGGCTCTGGCTGAACCCTCTGCAGGCACTGCCCACAAATTGTCCAGCCTTTGCTTGCTTCTAAATTGCCAGCTATTATGTCTCAAACTTTGCTTGCCCCCTGCTGGTGTAGGTGAAGAAATACACCTGTGCCTCTTCGTGGCCTGCCCTGAAATTAACTCTTCCCTTTATCCTTCTCCTCTGTTGTCCCTGCCCTGTCCTCAGGGCTATAAGCCTGCAGGTCTGTCATCCCAGCCACTAGTGCTGACCCAGGGTGGGTCAGTCCTGAGTCCAGGCCAAGGAGGACCCAGCCCCTCTTTTATGGGGCTCACGAGACTGAGGCACATGACTGTCCTGGCAGGTGGTCGAAAGGCCTCTGGGCTGGTCAAGGCATCAACGGCCATGGTGCAGGGAGACCGGGAGCCTCTGGCTGGGCGTCTGCTGGACTGGTGCAGAAGCTGTAGAAGCCCTGGAGCACACCATTGACCACAACATTGGGCAGAGGCTCTGGGTGGGAGAGAAACCGGAGGAAGGGGAAGAGGTGGTGTGGGATGGCCCTGACCTCAGGCCTGTAACTTCCTGAGGCCCTGCCGAGGAAGCAGGTGCCAGCGCGTCACCTGAAACAAGGCCTGGGCCCTTGCGGTTCACATTAGTTTGGTGACACCAGGCTGGTGAGGAATGCAGACCAGGGAGCCAAGTTTATTTCACCGCGTCTGCTCCCTGGAGAATACGAAGTCGGCTACTGGGGCACGGGAGCAGCAGGGCAGGTGTGGTCCCAAAGGAGGGCAGTAGGAGGGACAAGAGTGCCTAGGGGTCCTAGGACCTGAGAAGTGGCAGGTTCACCCCCACTCCCACCCTGCTGCCTGGGCCCTAAATGTGGGTTATAGGTCAGAGGCACCCCCTCACCTGGGGATGAGATGCAGGTGTAGGGGTCCCTGCAGAAGCCGATGACAGGCTGATGGTGCAGCTGCAAGCTAGGAGGAAAAGGGTGGAGCAGTGGAGGGTGAGGTGGGGCAAAGTCTCCTAATGGGTAGAGACTAGGAACTGAGATCGACAACAACCCACAAGGAAAAATGAGCAGGCAGGGGTCTTGTGGGGAGGGGTTGTGGGGAGGGGTCACGGACAGGAAAACCTGGACCAGTAGGAGGGGTAAGAAAAGCCGCAGACCAGCCTCTTGGCCTATGGCCACCAGGGGGCAGCGGGTGCACAAAGGGGCTTCAACTTGCCTGCTGTCATTAGGCAGGAACTTCCCCAAGGCTCTGAAAAGAAGAAAGAACGTGAGCTGCCGGGGGCGCCCAGGGGAGCGTGAGGAAAGGGTGGAGACACGGAAGACCAGAACCTCACCTCCCAGGGGGCCACTGCTTCTATTTGTAACGAGCTCAGTTCCGGAGGTGGCTGGGGTAGCCATGGCTGTACAATACAAACAGCCCCTCCACCGGGGTCAGGAAAGCTGATGAGGGTGGTCATGTCTCAAGGTGAAAGAACCAGGCTCAGGCCTGGCAGATGTGAAAGGAACAGGGCTGGGCCTCTAAAACCTTCACTTGCTTGCTGCAGAGTCCCTTTCCCCCAACACTGGGGACCCTTTCATGCCAAGCCATGGCCCCTAGAGGTGCTCACCCCCAGCTGCTGGCTTTGGGGTCTGTGGGGAAGTGCCGAAGATTCAGGAATTCCAGGAGCTCCTTGGGAACATCTGGGTTCAGGTACAAGACGCCCTGGAGAGGAGGACAGGGGAAGCCTGTATCAGATCCAGCTATGTGATGCACAGAGCCCAGGGCAAGATGAAAACACAGGGGCCTGCCAAAATGATTACGAAGTTCAAGAGCACTGGGTACATGCCCAGGAAGCTACCTGGCCTGTCCTCTGGCATCTCGGTGTGGGGAGGAGGGAAAGCGACCCTGCCCTACAGCCTCATCATGAGGTCAGTGCAGGGTCTCACCCCGGGGGGGTGGGGGGGGGGTAGAACTAGCGTCCATCCAACTGGGACCACTTGCTTGGGAACCAGGAGGCTGGTGGTCCCAGTTCAATGAAAGTTAAATGCAATCGAATTCAATTAATTCTGAAATTACTGTTCAGAAAAATTAAGACTTAGGGTAGGAAAAATCATGCCCACGATTTGCGTCCCACCTCACCCCATGCCTGCACACCTCTCTGGGTCACACCTCTAGTCCAGCAGGCTTGGGGTGGGGGGCAACAGAGGGAGACCCATGCCCACCTGGATATAGGCCTCCAAGCCCTGCCGCCGGTGCTCCAATCCTCTGGCCCTCCAGTTGGGCAGGCGTTTCGAGGGGAATTCGGGCACTTTGTACAGTTTCTTGATCTGCCAGGAGGTTACCGCGGTGCGATCACAGTGTCCCGACTGAGCCCTTAAGTTCACTTTACCCTAGCAAGTGCCCTCCCCTGTCTCTTCCCTCCTCCCTACCCCCAAACTTAGGGCTCTGCCCTAGGACGGACCCGGGAGAGTGTGGCTGGGGCAGGGGCGAGAGGCCCCAACAGCCGCAGACGCCCGAGGGTGAGCCCGCAGCGCAGGGTCTTGGACAGTACCGGCTGAGACCTGCCCCTCCGTGTCCACCCCGCAGCCCGCAGAGACGTCAGTGCCCAAGACCTGAGGGCCTCAGGTGATAACGAGGGAGACAGGGGCGGGGGCCGCAGCTCGTCTGCCGCCTCCCAGGCTGGGCAGGAGCCGCGCTGGGGTCGGTCGGTCGGTCGGTCGGTCTGCGGCGCCGCCTCACCCGCTTGTGCAGCGCGTGGAACTCGCTGTAGCGCCTGGGCATGGTGTGTCTGCGCCCGCGGTACTGCACCTCCACTCGGAACACCTGCCGGGCGGGCGCGGGCGGGCGGGTGCGCGTGAGGCCGGGCGCCGGGCGACCGCACACCCTCCCGCGCTTAAAGGCACAAAGCGGCCTCGGAGCGCCGCCGCTCCCCGGAGACTCCGCTGCGCTCCCCACACGCTCCGGAGCAGGGCCGGGCGGACCCGCCTTCCACTCCGCGCAGACCCTCAAGAGCCCGGACCGCCGTCCCCAGGGCTGGCAAATCCAAGCGTCCCGTGACCCTCGGCAGACCGTCCGTCCCGACGGCCTGGCCCGGGAGGAGGGCTCCCCACTACGCTCGGCGCGGAGAAATCCCGCGGGTCCCCGCGACCCTTCACAGCCTTTGCCCCCGCTCACCATGTGGCCTTTCTCTGGGCTCTGCCTGGGCGCCTCGGCCTCCGGCCCCACGGACGGGATGTGAACCTCCAGCATCCGCGCTCCACCCTTTCGCCCCTCCTCGCGCGAAGATCGAAGCAGCAATTCTCCCAGCGAGGCGCCGAGCCCCCGGCGGGCCGGCCCCGCCCCGCCCCAGATGGCCCCGCCCCGGGGCGTTCCTTCGCGCGGCCGCGTCCTGCCAGGGGGCAGATTAGGCCCCCAGCAGGGAACCCCCCACGTCCGCCCCGAGCCTAGTGCTGCTCCTGTGCGGGTGGAGACGCACTTTGGCGGAGAGGCGTGCATCTGTCAACATTCCCCTTGGGGACCAGCCTGGGACGTTCCTTGCGTTCCTCACACACATTCCTGGGACCAGGTTGCCCCCAACCCCTTTCCCTCCATCTTCGACCTGGACCCCGTGACAGTGGCCACGCTTGGACCCCACCTGGTTTTGATATCCCCCGACCCCAGCATCCACAAGCCCCTTCATTCATTCATTCATTGTTTCGTTTGGGTGTGTGTGCGTGCGCGCGTGTTTCTCTGTGTGTGTTTGTGTGTTTGTTTAATCCATTCAGCCTGCTTCAACCCAGTTTGCTGGGAAGAGGCAGTTTAGGGACCTAGGCTCTGCTTTGGGGGTCAGACAGCTTGGATTTCCCCAAACTGTGTAGACCTGTGCTCATCTGTAAAATTGGAATAATATGCCTTCCCAGGGATAGTGTATGAAAATTGAGATGATCCCCCATTAAGCCCGCCGCAAAGTCGGTGTTGAGAAATGGCCGCCTGTGGGTTTGTCCTGCGGGCGTACATCAGCGGTGTTGGCATCCAGGGCAAAAGGCAGGGAAGAGGGTCTGTGCAAGGTGGCACTAGGCCGCTCTTGCCCGCCCCTCTGGCCTTCCTGGGTGTGTGGCAGGATTTCACCCATAACTCTCTCACTGCCTGTGCTAGAAGGGTCTCCTTTCCTCTCCACTAGGGAGATTTGATACGAATGACTTGTAAAATTCCATAGCCCCCCACCCTCAGTCATTCAGCAGAGTCCAGTCTGCTGACTTCTGCAAAAAGGCCTGGGGGGTGGTGGAAGGAGAGGAGGCCCAGCCTGCAAGAGCTCACACCTAGCAGGAGGCCTGTGGTGGGGAGGAGGAAGCAGAATACCTGTCTTAGGGGGTGAGGCCAGGGGACCACGGACACACTCCACCCCTGCTGGTGCAGAGGTGCCTCCTAGCTGAGCAGAAACTGTTCCCAGCTCTGCTCTTTACAGACGCTGATGAACCCCAAGGGGGAAAAGCAAGGCTCACCAACACTATTTTTCACACTTTCCTCCCAAATTCCAATCTCACAAGGGCCCTAGAATCAAGAAGCTGAAACTCCCTGGAAGGGAAACGACCCACCACGAGGAGAAGTGCTGGGGTTTCATTTCCTGCCTTACACTCGAGGGCCCCCATCATTCCGGGACCCTGCCCTGCTCGTTCTGCTGTCCAGGAGCCCCTCCCGGGACCCCCGACCTCTACACTTCTTGGTCGCCTGTCCTAATGATGTTGCCCCTCTGTCTCTGTATCTGCCAGCTAGAAAACTGCTAGTCTCTAAATGATTCGCTCCGTTTTTCAGTGCCTCCCTCCGTACAAAGTCCATTCTCCACCTAGCAGCGCCAGCTGCCACCAAGGCATCTTCTTAAAACCTGGGCACCAGGCTCCAGACACAGAGACTTTCTTCCAGTTCCGAAGACCTGATGAGCTCTTCTTTCCTGCTTCAGGGCCTTTGTACTGACTCTTCATGGGATGGACTTAGCCTAACACTTCCAGTTCTTAGCCTTAAACTCACCTCCTCAAAGACACCTTTCTTCCTAATCACCTTAGCTTGTCACCCTGTCAATTCCAAAATGCAGTTACTGTTTATCGGGCGTCCCCTTGGGTTCCAGGATTCTGCCCCAGACTCAGCGCCATCAGGCCAGGGACCTGGTCTGTCTTGCCAGTAGTTGCCGCCATGGTGCCAGGTATGAAGTAGACGCTCAAAAAACACTTGTCTGAAAGACTGTGTGAATGCATGGGGGCGTGGGGTGCTGGGGAAGGGCCGTGGGGGGAGGCCTGGGAGAGAGGCAGGAAGGGAGCAGGGGTTGCCAGCGTTCCGGGAGGGAGGCAGGCTCGGGCATAACAACGGGAATGCTCTTCGCGCCTTCAGAGTTGGCCCCTGCCCCTTTAGATTGTGTGTTGTCCACCTTGATATTTAATTTTCCAGCGTTCCCGAGAAGCTGCACATCAATGGATTTTCATTATCAGTTACACAGGGAAATTTGATACGAATGACTTGTAAAATTCCATAGCCTTCCATGGTGTTCGGGTGAAAATTAATGAAGAAAAACCAGATCCACTTAAGATGTCTTTGAGGATAGAGAACAAGTTTTGGAAAATAGTTTCCTGAAAGGAGTTGCTGGAAACCCTGAAGCAGCTACCAGTCAGAGCCAAGGTTATTTTCCACGCACGGAAAGCGTCGGCCAGCGCGGGGCACGCGCATGGAGCCCGGTCCCAGGCTGTGTGATGGATGTGGGGCCCTTCAGAGTGCCGTCCAGTTCTAGAAGTCGCTTCACTGGGCAAATCCTTGTCTTTTCCCGATCGCTCTCTGACATATGGATTTAATATCCAAATTTCTGGGCAAAAGCTGGTCAGAAGTACTGGCTGGTCACATCTCCTTGTCCAGGGAGTTTCTAGATCAGATCATCTGCAGAGCGGTGGCTCTCCAACTTCAATCTCAGGGGCCCTGTCAATCTCAGGGGCCCTGACCTGTTTTCTGGAGGCGCAGGCCTGGCCTGGAGCCTCCAAGTGGCCTGGTGACGTTGCCTCTACTAATTGGGGATCACAGGGCAGATGCCAGTCTTTGGTCTCCCACAGCAGCCCTGTCAGGGAACTGGGCCACTCTCGCTGCCCTGGGCAGACCTGGAGCCTGGGGGTGTGGACCAAGGTCCAAGCAGAGGGCAGGAGGGGCTGGGGGTGCAGGTGTCTCCCCTGATAGGCCCCCAGCGGGAAGGGGCTGGATCTCCGGTCCTGGCCCCAGCTTGGGCCCTCGCCCTCCCGCCGCCATCACACAAAGCCACTCACTGACACGGCTTTTGCTGCTCCAGAGGTTTGATTAACCCCGTTAAGAAAACAAACAGCTCCTGGGCCTTGGGCTGGCAGCACTGCTGGGCACAGAAGCTGAATTCTTTTCTCCAGGCAGGTGGCCAGCTGTGGACTGGCCCGGAGGGGACCCAGCCCAGGGGAGCCTGAGAAAGGCTGGACGTGGCCTGCTCCTCCCAGGCGGCTCTGGGTACCTGGGCAGTCGTGGACAGTCCCTGTGCCTCGGGGTCCCCATCTGCACACGGGGAGAATTGTGGGCGCTCACTGACACCATGCTTCTCCGGTGTTTCCTGTGCGGCCTGGCACACAGTCATGAATGTTAGCTGTTATGGTCTGACCAAATTACATGAACTTGGCGTCCCGTAGCAATTACGTGATTCGTTCTACATATTGTCACTGATTCAACTTTGAACAGTAAAAACAAACTCTATTATTCCTCTTTCAGTATCCTGAGATTGCAAAGTTAGCTTAAAAAAAGAAACTGCTAATTATTTCACTACTAACTCTGCGATCAGGATTTTCCGGATTTTCTCAACATTGTGCAACCAAAATAATGTGAAAGAATTAATTGGAAGCAGAAGTTGGTGTAAATTAGCAGCTGCCCTGTTCATTCTAACGGCCTCCGAGTACTTACTGCTTGCCTTTTAAATAAGTATCATACATCTTATAAATTTGAAATAATTATAATAATGAAAGAATTTTTGTTTTAAATATTGGGCTTTGGTGTAGATGTCTGAAAAAATAGCCCTGCGGCTACAACATTGTAAGTTATTGAGCTGGTCTAGACTCCATGTCACAGATGAGGACACGGAGGTACAAGCTGAAGTGGGCCCTGGAGAGGCTGCGTTGGGAAGGCACCTCTGACAAGCATGCCTGCCTGAGCCCAACCCTGAAAGCAGAGTTTGGCTCAGGGTAGGCTGGTGGCCTCCTTCTCAGGGGACAGGCAGGCTCCAGCCCCCGGGCTTCAGCCAGCTGTGTTACTCCTGGGAGTCACCTGCCCCCTGCCCGGACAACGGACGCAGCTCAGCTGCTTCAGACCACACATGCCAGGGCCGGAGCGGGGGAGCTGGCAGTGACCCCAGCCACCCGCATCCAAGGCCACACAGCCTCATGGAGGGGACAGAGGAGTTCTGGCGCTCTAACAGCTTCGAGTCCCTTGGAGTGATGTGTGGGTGGGCCAACCAATCAGCTCCTCTGGTGTGCCCAGCACTCAGGCTCAAGGAACAAAGATGCACACAGGTACCCTCAAGTCACGGGTGTATATCATGACGAGAACCGTGGGACCAGGACATGAGGACAACGGGAAAGCCGGGCTGACGGCCTCAAAGTCTGGAATGGAGGTGCCCTTGTCTCCCACTCTGGCCCTGGGTGAGTCTATGATTTCTCGGCCGGTAGAGTTTTTAGTCTCTGCCACTGATGGTCCCCAGCTGCTCACCTGAGCTGCTGCTTTGTCTCCCAGCTTCTGCTCCTGCTGCTAGGCTGGGCCACACTCTGCATGTCTGGGAGAGAGTCTCACAGGGCTTGGAGCAGCTCAAATGCCTGCAAGGTCGGGTGAGTAACTTAACCTTCTCAGGCCTACCGTATGGGTTTATTAAGGTCTTTAAGAAAACAATTTAGTGCCCTGACTGGTAGCTTAGCAGGTCAGAGCGTTGTAGTGCCATGCCAAGCTTGCAGGTTCTCTCCCTGGTCAGGGCACGTGTAAGCATCTACCAATGAATGAAGGCATCCATAAGTGGAACACAGCAAGGGGATGTTTCTCTCTCTTCCTCACTCTCTAAAGTCAACGAGAATAACAACACAACTTAGGGGGTTAATGTCTAGGTTCCTCTTATCCACCCCTGCAGATCTGGTGGGAAATGATATGGCAGACAAGCTGAGTCAAGCAGATTGGGGTCCAGGCAGCTCTGGGGCGGGAGCCGGGCAGGCTTCTCAAGGTCTCTAAGCCTCAGCCTTTGAAGGAGGTGAGGATGGTCACCGGGCAGAACACGGGGAAGCCCCCACCCTGTACACGTTCCT